AAAATATACCATTTTATTATTGTTATTATGAAAAAAAAAAAAAAAAAAACAAAACAAAACCAAACAAAACAAAAACCAAATGAAAAAATTAAAGAAAAAAAAAAAAAAAATAGTCTCGACCAGGACCTCGACTTGAACATAGTTAAAAAAAAAACCCTGCATTAGTTGAACTAATAACTGTAAACGAACTGTTCGACCGTTAATACGATAACCGATAACCGACAACCGCTAGTCGGTAATCGAGAAACCGTGATCGTGACTGTTTTTAGAGTTATTAGAGTTGTTCCAACGCGCCCAACAGGGTTTTGTGTCCCACTCCTTTAACTCCTTGAACACACACTCTGACCGCAAGGTTTGCGACCAAGAGCGAAAGATGACCGAGACGTATCCAATGTGAGTATTGCAACAAATCAATAATAACCAAAAGAAAAAAACAAAAAAACAAAAACACAAATTCAAATAGCATTTAATCAACACACACTTATCAACTCGGCTGCGAATTGACGGCGAATCGACAAGTTCCACAACAAATTCTCTTGCAGGCCTCTCCGCAATCAACAATCCACAATGGTAGATCAGCAGCGGATGCATCGAACGACAATGTTTAACTTCGGTTTCTTGTTAACAGCAACAGCGACTAATTAACCAAACAATTTCTTTTAATTTTCCGTTTCATTCTCTGTTTCGTTACGAACAAAAACTTCATTTTAAACCTAAAAGTTCGCGTTTGCTGATGATGAATGTCCTTGCATTAACATGAACTTTCGGCTGCCCGTCTCTTTTCATTGCAGGATGCACGCGGCAGACACCGCGACTCGGAGCGCAACAGGGATAAGGAGCGTGACAAGGAGCGCGACAAGGAATACAGCAAGGTGAGACTAAAGTCAGGAGACAATGATGCGGCAGAAGGCGAGCTTGACATGTTAACTATAGCTGAATTTGTCGAAAATTCATTTTCTGAATAGCTGAACTATCACAATTCAGCTATTCATTGCTGAAAAGCTGAATTTGTGGAAAATCCATATTCTGAGTAACTAAACTATATGTTACTAGATCTATTTTGTTCAAAAGTGGCTGAGCAACAGCTTTATCCACTATGCAGTAGTTGCTGAATAGCTGAATTTGTGTAAGCGCCATTTTCTGTATAGCTAAACCACCGCTTGATTTATTTTGCTCAATGAAGGCTGAGCCACAGCTATATTTATAACTGCTGAATAGCTGAATTTGTAGAAAATCTATTTTCTGAATAGCTGAACTATCACAATTCAGCTATTCATTGCTGAAAAGCTGAATTTGTGGAAAATCCATATTCTGAGTAACTAAACTATATGTTAACTAGATCTATTTTGTTCAATAGTGGCTGAGCAACAGCTTTATCCACTATGCAGCAGTTGCTGAACAGCTGAATTTGTGTAAGCGCCATTTTCTGTATAGCTAAACCATCGCTTGATTTATTTTGCTCAATGATGGCAGGACCACAGCTATATTTATAACTGCTGAATAGCTGAGTTTGTAGAGAATCCATTTTGTTCACTAGAGGCTGAGCAACAGCTATATCCATAACTGAGTTTATGGGGATTCAATTATGAAACTGCCCAACTCTATTTCTTTCCCTTTTCGATCCATGTGTGGCTCGACTATCTCGCTCTAATCTCTTGCTTGGGCTTAGCATCCTTAACTGAACACTTCACATATCGTTCACAGAGCGAGCGCCACCATCGCACCAAAGAGAGCAACAAGGAGGGCGACTATAAGCGCGAACGCGAACGCGAACGTGAGGAGCGTCGCCATGGCAGTGGCAGCGGTCGGGACAGAGACAGAGATAGGACTGGCTCCAGGCATCAGCAGGGTAAAGAGGCGCGCTATAGCGACAATTCGCGCAACTATAACTCCTCGTCCTCCACATCTTTGACTTACAAATCTCAGTCACAGCAGCAGCTGCAGCAGCCGCAGTCGCAGTCGCGTCGCTCCTATGACGATCGTAGCCGACGTCGTTCTCGTTCCCGCTCGAGATCTGGCTCCCGCACACGCACGCCCACCGAGGCACCCGGCAGCCGTCGGCGCCATGCGACGTCTCAGTCAACACGCAAATACCGCAGACGTGGCTCGCACGATTCGAGCAGCCGTTCCAGATCGCCGCCCGCTCCAAAGTCCAGCGAGCCTCTGTTGAAGAGCGTCTATCCCGTGTCCGGGCTGCTCGGCAAGTCGCCGGGCCATGGCATGCCATACAACGCACCTGGTGGTGCTGCTGGTGGTGTTGGTGGGTGTGGTTCGGCAGCCTCGGTAGCGGCTGCAACAGCAGCCGCTGTGACAGCCAACATGTCGGTGGGCGGCGGTGTTCCCGGCGGTGGACTACTGCCCACGCCGAACTATGCGCCCAAAATACCATCGTTAATGTCGCTCGAGCTGAATACACCGCCCAGCGCCCTAGTCGAATCGCAGCCGTCGGCTGTGCAACTGCCCAAGTACTATAATCCGAGCATCATCAATGCCAATCGCTATGCCGAGCAGCAGCAGAAGCGGAAGCTGCTGTGGGGCTCCAAGAAGAGCGAGGATTCGGCCAACAAGTGGGGCAATGCGCACTTCTCTCAGGACTCCGATGGCAAGGTGGCATCCAAGTTTATGCGGCTCATGGGCATCAAGAATGCCACCAACAGCAATACAAATCCCAGCAGCAACAACAGCAGCCAAAACAATGGCGGTTCCAATGCGGATGCAACGACTGACCCAACCTGCAGGAGCAGCAATGGCAATGGGGGTGGGGGATCTGTGCCCACCGATGTCCAGCTACGCCAGCGCATGTTCTCCAACATGGAGCAGCAGTACGAGGTGGCCCGTGCCGCCACCCATACGATGCGGGGCGTCGGCCTTGGATTTGGCTCGCAGCCGCGCAGCTTTTGAGGCGTTCGAGTGGATGCTGTAAATAGAACGTTAAGAAACTCGTTAAGTCACCCACAACAACTGTTCTAAATATCCGTTCGCAATATTTATTTGTGTTAACTGCAAATATCTTGAACTATATAATTCAATTCTTGGTTATATGAATGTATCCTTTTGTGTGTGTGTTTTTTTTTTTTTGAGTACTTCAAATAAATTTGCGAGAAAAAAGTTCCAATTCAAGTGAAATTGTTTATCATGGTATGGGATGTATAGAGCTCTATCTGGAGCAGTCTGAAATATATAATTCGATAACTTTTCGAAGAAAATTAAAATTAAATTGAGCAGTTTTAATTTTTAGCTCTAGAAAAAGTTGAAAAATTCTGAAAAGCTGTTATCAGACGATAATTCCTAGAGTAAAAATAGACCTTGAGGCATACATGAAAGTGGACAGTAATATGTATGTAGTAGAATGTTCATGAGTATTAGAGATCTATAGAAACAAAATTAATTAAAATGTAGTTTTGAAAAATGAAAGAGAAAAAAGAAAAAGCTCTTAGTAATTCGCAAGGATTTACTGGAGAACAAGTTACTGGATTACTAGATTACAAAAATTTGGATTTGTATAAAAAATCTACTTTTATTTGATTTAGACCTTATAAATATGTGGTATGATCTCCATATAATATAATATATATATATGTATATGTATAATCCTGCAGAAAGTTGAGTTGGTTTTAGGGTTTTGTCATATAAATATTGAGGAGCATTCGAGTCTTAGGGGTATTTCTTTATATAGCTATTCTCTGCGAATATTTGGAGTTATTTAAATTTGACACACTTGGGTTATACGTCTACAAGGGCAAAACCGAACTCAACTTAAGTCTAACGAAATGCAAAATCACTTTTACGTGCATATACGAAATGGAGTTCTGTTACATTGACTTACATATATACATATACATATTGTCGTAGGTGGTAATTCTAAAGCTAGGTTGGTCCTTCGATTCTAACCAATTGCAGACTTTTACAGTTTTCGACGATTTAAAAGACAGTTATAAAACTAATGAGCTACGATTCCATTTACACTCTCGCGTATATAAATATGATTTGTTCGCTAAATATTCGAAAGACGTAGACAAAAAAGAGTCTCCGCTATATGCTATAAATATATATATGTATAAATCTCGGAATATTAGGCTAATTCTCAAAATAGCTGCTCTATGATCGATCGGCCGACCGACTATGACTAAGTGTGGGTATATAGATGTCTAAGCGGGAGGGAGTCTTATGCTGCCCAGCGTGACTTCTGCAATTCAATTTGCCCCTCCAGCGTTTTGGCCAAGTAGATAACCAGCAATTGGACAAGTGCCACGCCCAGTGCAATGCCTGCAATGGTGTAGAGATTCCGCTCGGCCCAGACGCGTACGACCTCAATGCAGCCGCTGGTCCATATGATTTTGCTGGCAGCCGCCACTGAATGCACCTGGACCCCATAGCCGCACATGATGTTGACCAGGCCCGTGCTGATGTCGGTGGCATTGATGCAACAGCTGTAGGGCACGCCGCACTTCTCCACCGAGGGCGAGGAGCAATTGAAGTACTCATTTTTGCTCCAATCCTGGTAGCCGGCGTTGCTCAGGCCGCAGCACTGGAACTCTATCTGGGCGAAGTCAATGAAATTCTGCAAATCCGGATCATCGCGATACGAGTGAATGATCTTGTCCGTAAACTGATCCTCCAGGAAGGAGTTCATGTTTTGTGGAAACACAAAGCAAATAATCGCTACAATTAAACAATTTGAGAGTCATCTATAGTATATATATATAGGGAGAGAATTCATTCCATTCCACTCACCTATGGCCATTTCCATGAGGAAGAATATGAGCAGACAAAGCGAGTAGAATTTGAGTAGACAAGTATTTTCTCGCAGTGCACCCAGGCAGCCGGCAAAGCTGACCACGAATATGACAATGCCGGCGATGATCATCACCAGCGATATGTTGAGAATGACATCGTAAATGTTCTCCAGCTTCACCCAGCCGTTCGCCTCCTCCCACTTGATTTTGAACGCATAGACGCCGATGCCCAGGAGCAGGCCGCCAAACAGCCAGAACATGAAGTTCAATATAAATATCATGTATTTCACCCAGGAGCTGACGAACGTAAAGTGATGCGGATAGGAGATACGTTGATGCATATCGCGCACCTCAATGCCATAGTAGCCGCCGTTGACCCCACCTCCACCGCTGCCACCCCCACCGCCTCCGCCGCCTCCATGACCATGGTATCTATAATTACTCATTGTTCGTTGCCTGGCTGACCTGAGCGATGCGCACTTTTCACACAGACATATTTTACCGTTATTATACTGTTAAATACATGATTGTTCGTTTCGCTTGCATTCTTATATGTTTTGTTAATTTATGTATTTACATTTTGTGTTTTTAAAACGGTGTCATTTTGGGCCCAGACACTAATCTAAACATTGGCTGTATGTGTGTATGTATGTGTGTATATATATGCGTATATCGATATATCGATACGTTGGCAAATTGAATTCGCCTTCAACTGCGCGCGATAGTCAAAACGGAACTAAAAGCTTATTTAACAGTATGGATTTTTGTATAAATGAAAACTATCATTTTATTTAGTTACTAAAATAAAGATGAACTTATTTCATTAATTTAATCGCGTTGCTTTGTTCACTATAGTTCCCCTTCGACTGCACTCGATAGTCAAAACAATACGTGAGCAAAATATTAGTTGACTTTATCGATTTATTTTGTAAATGAGAGCTATAATAGTGTTTAGTAATGATTTTAATATTTACGTTTATTTATTGTTTGATTGATATATTTCATATGCATATGTGCTTGCTTTAATAGCCCAAGCGTTGTTCACTTCGGAACTAGTTCAACTGCAAACCCAGTATTTCTACTGTAGTATATGCACGTGAATGATTCAGCGCCCAGCTAGCAGCAGCTGCTTTAGTCGAGTGCAAGTTGTTAACAACTGATAATGCTTGCCGCTGGCGCTGCTGCTGCTGCTGCCGTTCAAAGTTTGAACCGCGTACCATGCAAATCCCGAGAGTAGCCATTATCGCCGATAAGCAAGCCAATAATTAGATTTTGTCATATGTGCTACGCTATTTAATAGCCGTAGTAGTTCGATAACATACGCAGTTCAGAGCAAAGATCGCCGCTATGAATTTTGTGCTGCGTTTCATCATATTTTGCATTGATCCGCTTGGCCTGGGCCGCCGCTTCCTCGTCCGGCCCGCTCGCAATCTCACGCTCAATGTGTACGATCGCTTTCGCAGCAAGGCCGATGAGAAGGTGGACACCATACGGGAGCTGGTGCTGCGCCTGGGCCTCATCGCCTTTGCCGTTGTGTTGATCATCTGGTTGGCCGTCTTCTTCTATGCCGCCTTCTATTATGTCTACATGCCGCCCATCTCGCATACGCGGCCCGTTCACATGCAGTTCAAGTGGGTATCGCTCTCTCTCGCTCTCTCTCTCTCTCTCTCTCTGCGCCTCTCGCTAAAACGAATAATTCATATTTCGTAGAACCTGCCTGGAGACGAGCACACCGTGCACCTTTCCCCACGCCCACGTCTCGCTGACCAAAAAGCAACAACTGCTGATGGTGGGTCAAGCGTACAAGGTCATTGTCAACATTGATATGCCGGAATCGCCGCAGAATCTGGAGCTGGGCATGTTCATGGTCTGCGCCGAAATGCGCGACTACGATTCAATGCTGCGCGGCCATTCCTGTCGTTCGGCCATGATGCGCTATCGCTCGCCACTGATCCGGCTGATATCCACATGGGCGCTGAGTCCGCTCTATGTGCTCGGCTGGAAGGAGGAGTTCCAGAAGGTGCCAGTTGAGATCTTCTCGCGCTACTTGGAGGAGCGTCAGCATCCCATCACAGACGTCTATGTGGAGATACAATCGCAGAAGATACAATTCTATACGGTGACGCTGCACATCGAGGCGGATTTTACTGGTCTACGGTACATCATGTTCAACTGGCCAATCCTGTCCGCAATAGTGGGTAAGTTGAACTTCGCTTGGTTAATCTTCATTGCGAAATGGCTCAATTGGCATATACACTTCTCCACCACTTCCAGCCATTAGCGCCAATCTATTCTTTATATTGGTCGTCTTTCTGCTCAGCTGGTATCACTGGTCGGATGCCACATGGCTGCACAATTTGCAAATCCGATATGCCCGCCTCACCAATCAGCTGCAGAAGAAGTCCAGCAGTGTGATCCTCTCCAGCTCGAGCAGCTTGCGCGACGACGACGAGCTCAGCTTCATGGACGAGAAGTACGAAGTTGCCGAACTGGGCGGCCACGGCGACGACCAACAGCTGGACAAGTCCAGTGATAAGCCCGCAGAGAGTGCCGATGTCCAGACGGTGCGACAGCGCAAAGTGGAGAAGCAGAAGGACAGGCCTACGGAGAAGCAGACGGAGAAAACGGAATAGAGGCCAAGCATGGCAGCATGCCAAAGACTAAATAGGTTTACGCTCGATAAACATTGTTTTACCGCTGCTCCAAATTTGTTACTGCTGAAGTATTTCCTCTACTCTAATGCAAAGTTAGGACTCGTGTCTCTAAATGATGTCCATATGTAAATGAAACGCGCAATGCATATTTTGAAAATATGCATATCTGTGTAATGCTATACGCAAAGTCTGATATTTAGGAATTCCAATATGTATAATACATACATACATATATACGCCATAAAAGCTTTCAATTTTAAATGAACTGAACAATTGTTAACTGCTTGAAACATGTATTTAAATGAGATATATTATGTGCATAGACTATCTATAGATATCTCTGAAATATAAATATAAACTATATATGCTTGAAGTGGATTTCACAAATGTGTGGATATATCAAAGTCTCTCTGTATGGCTGATAGATTTCAATATGCTAACTATCTTTGTATAAGACACTCTAAAAATATACATAAATATTATCATAATCTTGCAATAGGTGAAATTCGGCATTTGAAAGTGAAAAACAAAAATCTTTCTTCTTTATAAAAGAGTATGGACTTAATATATATTATATAGAGAATAGTATAGGATCTTTATATTATATGTTAGTCTAGAAGAGCATAGAAATCAGGCTGCTCCTTATTTGAATTTGGATAAACTCAGCCTGATTTCAACATGAACTAGAGTAGCCTTCGATAAGCTCTTTTAACAAAGTAACGATTGGGCTGAGCCAATGATCATTATTATATTAAGAGTATGATAATGAAGACTTGCACGAGTTGAATACACAATTAAATGTTGTTTAATGTAAGACTCAGAGAAGAGTAATTTTAATAATTGTCTAGGATTTCATATTGATATTGTTTGGCTCAGTCAGACTATCAATAAATGACAAACGTTTATACGAAAAAAAAAAAACATATACATATATATTTAAGTATATATATATATAGATAAGTATATAGATATAGATTAGATTAGCCTAATTGCAGCATTATTTGTCGCTAGACTTTTCCTCTTCGGGCTCCGACTCCGAGGACCATATCGATTCGATAGGCTCCGGCGAATCGGGTTTGTCCGCTTCGGCCGGCTCCGCCGAGTCCACTGCGGCCGCATTCTCTTTGCTGCTAGACAGCAGCACATCGCTAAAGATAATGTCCAGGAGCAAATAGCCAATTTGCTGGGCAGGAAAGTCAATGAGGAAGGCGACGGCCAGAGCGAAGCCCACAATGCAGACCAGCTCCGGAAGGCTCAGCTGCAGGGATCACAACAAAACGATATACATATAAGTATATGCAAGTCTATGCATAATATATATTGGGGTATTCACTCACCAGATCGGAGACTTGAAATTGCTGCGGCTCCTTCACGCTGGCCGTGTTCCACAGCACAACCGTAAAGGTGGCCAGCTGCAGTGGAATTTGGATTCTGGAGAGGATGAGCACGGGGCGCGCAATGTTTGGATGGCGTTCCAGCATGCTCCTGTCCAGCGGCGCCATCAGCAGGGCCCAGCATACGCCCAGGCCGAGGATGAGCGGACTCCAAGCCAAATAGGCAGCCGCCTCCGTCGCTCTGTAGACGTATTTGTTGCGAATGCCCGCCGCAGCGGCCCAGAAGCACCAGCCAATGCCCAGCATGGCCAGGGTCCAGCCGACGCGCCTGTAACGTGTCCCGATGCCAAACGAACCGGACTCGCTCCGGAACAGCAGCCCGGCGCCGATGCCCAGCAGATAGGCCGTGGCACGTGCCACGGGCGAGCCGTATATGAGATTTCCGGTGCGATAGAACTTGCTGATGCTGCAGACAGACGACAGAGTTGACAATTCTGGCGAGGATTTGCGTCATCATTCACGACTTACCCGATGCCATGGAAGAGCGAGGGAGCCAAATAGTCCCGCTGAGTGCGGGCGTAGCGCGCGGCCACGGAGACGGCATGGAAGGCGCCGCAGAGGAAGAAGCCCGCCTCCGGATCCGTGAAGTACAGCCAGACGACCAGAGCGCCCAGCAGATAGAGCTGCACCTCCAGCGACATTTGGATCGTGATGGGCGAGCACTGCAAGTGAAGGGATTAGAGTTCCATAGAGCTGAGTGGACATGAGGTTCCATTACCATTTCCTCCACATCGCCCGTGTTCTGCAGGCTGAGCGCATTGCGCCACAGGTTCTCCTCGCAGAGGCGCGCATTCTCGCCGACGAGCAGGCTCCAGAGCGGGCCGCTGCCCAGGTGCGGCAGCACCCACGCCTGGAAGCCCAGCACGGCCAGAATGCTGGGCACGTGGCGGCACGCCTTGGCGCTGACATTGCGCAGGAAGCTGAGCCGGCACGTCTGCTCCATCTCGTGGGAGAGCTGGTAGGCGACCAGGAAGCCGCTGAGCAGCAGCAGCAAGTCGCCATGGAGCAGGGGAATGCGATAGGCCAGGCTCCAGTAGCCACTGACGGCCTCCACGAAGGCATCCCGATTCGTGATGGGCAAGTGGCCGGCCATCATGAACTTCAGATTCACGTAGATCAGCAGCGTGGCCAGCAGCCGGAGCAGATGGATGAGGGGAAACTCCACGTCCGGATGGTCGAGCGACGCCAGCCTCTCGAATGTGAGCCGTGGCGAGAAGGCGCTTAGGAGTCGCACATGAAGTGCCGGAGTCAGTTGCTCCGTCTCCTGCTCCTCTGCTTGCTTCTGCTCTGTCTCCTCCGCCTCCTCTGGCTCCACTTCCTCCACTCTGTCTGACTCCGCCCCGGCCTCGGCCTTGCCCTCCGCCGTGTCATTGCCGCTGTGCAGTCGCAGCTTGGCGCTAATCCAATCCCAGTGCTCCCAGATGAGCGCCAGCAGGCAGCTGCAGCCGAGGGCGCCAATGCCTAATCTGTGAGAAGTAACGTTATCTTAGGCGTAAGGCTCAATGGAATTCCGGTCTACTCACATGCCCGTTGCCAGGTAACTGTCCTTGGCCATCAGCTTGGCGAAGCTCTTGCGCTGCCGCGTGCTGCAGTGCTCGTCCCGCGCATCGATGTGGAACTCGATGCCCGTGTCGTTGTACGGACGCAGACTGGCCTCGATGATGCTCTGCACCACGTGGGCGGAGCAGCCGTGCGGCAGGCAGATGCCCCAGTTGGCGATGTTGTAGCGCGGTGCAAAGTGCTTGGGCTGAGGGGGGAGCGGGAAGGGGCGAGTACAAATGTGAAAGACTCCAATGGAAATATACTCTAGCTACGTACGTTCTTCAAATGGCCATGCCACAGGCCGCGTCCGTGCAGCAGATGCAGCGCCTCCTTCAGGCTGCTCGCCGTCGAACGCATCTCGATCTGGGCCAGGCAGTACTTGCCGTGCACGCGGATCGGCTGCCTCGAGGAGCTCTTCACGGCGGTGGACACCCTGGTGCATTGATCGAAGTCTCCAAGCTGATTGATGTTGCCTCGCAGCAGTCCGGCGCCAATTTTGCCCGTGGCATCCAGCACTGCAAAAGAGCGAGAAAGCAGATAAGGAAAGTCTGTGCGAGAGAGAGAGAGAGAGAGAGAGAGAGAGGGGGTGCTGCACTTACTCTGCAGTGTCCAGAGCTTGTGGGCGTGCAGCTGGTGATGCAGCAGCTCCAGCTGCTGATGGCACTCGCCGCTTCGCGCCTGCGACACGTTGCCAATGAAGGCGGGCAGCGAGTGGATGAGCAGCTCCAGGTACTCCTCCTGGCTCTTCGATTGCTGCCGCTGCTGCCGCTGCTCCTGCTGCTGGCGCGACAGCTCGCCTCGGGCATCCGGGGCGCTGCGGCTGCGCTCACGCTGGCGCGTCTCGCTGGGCGGCGGCTCCGGGAAGATGCTGTTGAAGGGCCAACGCTTCAGATAGGTGAACCAGTCGATGTCGCTCTTCTCGGACTTCTTTTTCTCCCTCTTTCCCCTCTGTGGCTCATCGGCGGCAGCATCGTCGCTCGACTCCGTCAGCCAGTGCAGCCAGCTGAGCATGTTCGGGTACTGCGACTGCTCCTTCTCCTTGGGCTGCTCCTCGTTGTCGCTCATGAATCTGTCCCAGAGGCGACTGAGCAGCGATGGCGCATCATTATCATTGTCATCGGCTTTGCTCTCAATCGATGATCTATCCGCTCTTTTACGCTGCCTTTTGCCACGCCTGGACTGCCCCTTATCATCATTCTTATCGGATTTATCATCATTGTCATTATCATCTTCATTGTCATTGTCATTGTCATTATCATTGTCATTATCCTCGTCTTCATCGTCGTCATTCTCATTGTCGTTCTCATTATCATTCTCATCATCGTTATCATCATTTTCATTTTCATCATCATCATCATCAGCATTCCCAGCAGCATCGTCATCATCATCATCTTCATCCTCATTATTATCATCATCATCATCGTCATCCATTCGCTGTATCGTATGGAATTTGAACTTTGCCCGCCTCGGCGTCGCCCTCCGACCCGTGGCCAGCGCCTCGCTCGCCTGGGCACAGGCAGCCGCATCATCCGAGCCCTTGCACAGGTCACGGCCCATCTCTTGGGTGCCCAGCGGCAGCAAGATGCCGATGAACAGCACTGCCAGCCAGAAGACCTGATTTGTGCTCCGCCCGCGCACCATCTTGGCGATTATCAATATAGATTACTCAGATATACATATATGTACATATAAATGATATAGATGATTTGTTAATCCTGCCGAGATCGAGATCGAGATTCGTATTCGTTTCGTATTTCTTTCTGGTTTTCCCCAATCGCAGTTGCTGTTTCCTATGGCTTTCAAATAGTTTACACAACCTTTTCGCACAGACTAATTGTGCCCATCGAATATGCGCCCAGATGAAAATAATTTTGATGCATATGCATATGCAGTGAGGACCGTGCTCTCAGCCCAGAGTCGGACGAGTGGCAGCACTAGCTCTGGGCCTCGATGCTATTAATAAATGCCAGAAAGCAGCAACAGTACCAGCAGCAGCAGCAGCAGCAGCAGCAAAAAAAAAAAAACTAAACTGAATAACCTGAAAAAATTGCCAGCTACAAAAACAAAGTGCATTCGCCTTGCTGCAAATACTCGAATAATTTTTTACTCACTCTTAAATAGACCCTATCGGCCGCGAGCTCATAAAAAATAGAAAAATGCAAATTTCATGACGAGCAACTGCAAGAGTCGCATCGCACATACCCTGGATGGGAATTCAGCAAATGATGATTTAAGGTAAAGGAAATTCAATTAGATTGCATGCAAGCATCATAATGATTTATAATTATGAATAGAGAGAGAGAGAGAGAGAGAGAGAGAGAGAGAGAGAGAGAGAGAGAGAGAGAGAAAAATAATAATAATAATAAATATATATGAGGTAAATAAATATACATAGATATACTAAATATATTGAGTTGTAGCTATAATAATATTGAGGATGACGATGATTGTTCTCTGTAGCTAATAATGATGATGAGAACAAAGGCGACAACAATGATGATATATGTATATTAATAGATATAGATATATATGTAATTAATAAACGTAATACAAATAGAGATTGCAAAGATAAATAATTATAGAAATATTGTAAGCAATAATAAGACAATTTTCATGAATTATAAAAGCAGAGGTGTATGAAAATGACGATGAAAACTAAGAAATTAATATTACCAAAAATAATACAAATTAATTACATAAGTAGAGCTAATGAAGCTGCCTTCATGATGATATAAATGATGATAGATATGGATAAAGAGAGCAATTAAAATGTTTATAATAAAAATTAAAGTGCTAAACGATGCCTGATGATGATGCTAATGATAATACTAATGACAATAATTGAACATAGAGTGACAATTTCACCATGATGATCACGTTAATAATAGAAAAGAAAATATAATTGAGATTTTTTATAGGGCTAATCTATCTCTGTATTCCCAGCCTAGTTAGAGCTTCCTTCTGAGCCCGTCACTCTGAGAGCTTTGTTGGACTAAATATGTTGCTGAAAATATTCCTTTCGTTGAGCTCTCTTGCTTCTGGGAACTATATGTTATTCCGTTTAAACCTTCTAAGTGCTTCAGCTGGGCATTGTCATCGCTGTTCCTTAATATTTCCCACATAAAGTTTTGGTGAAATTCAAGCATTTGTCTTTTATAGACTTCACTATGAACTTGGCTTCTGTGAAATGAAACCGCTCTTCTCGCATTTCTCAGTTGTGAATTGCCTTGAATTTGGTACTTTTGCTTATTTCATGAAGATAGAGAGAGAGCCCTCTCATCGCACCCCCTAGCCACTGCTTTAGGCTGCATCTCCTATGCCCCATGCATAGCTCTCGCTAGACCATTTGGCAGAAGGCAATAAATAGCCTGCTGTCCACTGGAGCTGCCCTTTGCTGATTACATCAGAAATTTCTGCCTTTGCCAGAGATTTCATATCGTAGCTCGTCACAGTGTGTGGCATGCTGGAGCTGCCCCCGAAAGCTGCTTTTGAGCCCCAGCTTGACTTCTGCCCGTACTTGGCCAGCATTCAGTAGGAATGCATTTGTTGCTTCAGTTTTACCTGGCAACCGGGTTGCTATGGAGGGTGGGCGGCTGCTGCACCTAGTTTACCGTTGAGTCTAACGTGCTTTGAGTCCTCATTGTGTTTACGCATCGCTACTTCGACTGGAATCTGCTTGGCAGAGAGCAGAGGGAGCTGCTTTAGCTGGGCAGGAAGGCGGCAAAGCTGTGCGCAATTAATGATAAGAAATTTAATAAATGATGAGAAACTGATAAATGTCTTATGCATGAAATGAATATAAATATCAAATATTAATATTGACAAACAAACAACTTGCTGTCTGCCTGCGTACAGGGTATGCACTAGCTGCACTCATTTATTTATATTGTATTTGTTTTATGCATTTGCATTTTGCTTTATTATTTTAGCTGCGTTTTATTGTTTACTCGCTGCGAAAAAGTGTGAATATTATTTTTAATTCAATTGCACGGTTTTGCGGGGTCCATTTGATCGCCAATTGTACGGTCTGTCGGCGTTTGTTGTGCGCCGGGACAGTGCCTCCGCGCTTCCTTCCTTCCTGCCTGCCATCCATCCATTGGTGTGACAAATGCGCCGGCCAAATTATCGTTGGCATGTGTCGTGTACGGCGATTAATTCAATTTGATATCAAACAGTGAAATAATGCAATTTAAATGCGTTCTCTTGTTGTTGTTGTTGTTGTTGTTGTTGTTGTTCAGTTTGTATTTCAAATTCAAGAGAGGACTTTATTTGGGCGGTGCCCAGAGCAATGTTTTTAGCAAGATACATAAAAGAAATTGTAAGCAAGAAAGTAAGTGAAATGTAAGTTGCCCTAAGCTATACTCTCAAACCCATATACATGCATATACACACACACATACATATACATATATACATATACACTATCTATTCTGTATACGCATCGACTCTAGATATCTTCGTCTTGGATTATTTGCACATCCTGACTCGGTTTGTTCACAATGTTGATGAACAGAGACTTGAGGCAGGGCGCACTGATCTTGAACGGAAAGAAGATGTCGCTGTTGTTCTGCAGCGTCTCCATGACCATCGACATGGTGTACATGTTCCTCGATAGCCAGAAGCAGGCAATGTGATTGTTCGTGTTTCTGTGCCGCAGCAAAAAGAATGGGGAAGATCAAGCAAATGGGGCAATGGAATATCGTCGAACGATCGGCACTTACTTGAGGATGGCGTGCGGGAAATACGCTTCGATAATCGAACAGAATTCAAAGTAAATTCGATTGTGGCGAATATCGCGAAACTTGTACAACTCGGTCAGGTCATCGTCGTCTTTATCCAAGTTTGGTGCTCGCAATGCTCTCATCTTGATGCGCGCCTTGACCACAATGAAGTCCATGAAGTGCTTCACCTGCAGCTCGTTGCGCTCGCCGATGACGCACAGGTTGGTCCGATCGAGCACAGCCGTGCGGCTGGCCATGTCACAGTACTTCGGATCGGAGGTGGTAAAGAGCACCGCCTGGCCCTGTGAGCTCTGCGAGTGTATCAGACTGTGGATGGTCAGCTGGCTGCTCAGGTCCAAGTAGGCGAACGGCTCGTCCATCAGGATGAGGCCAGCGTACCCGATCAGCGATATTGCCAGCCGAATGCGCTTCAATACGCCGCGACTGCAGTGGGGCAGCAGAATGAAGCGACTGCTATAGAGATTGAAGATGCGCAACAAGTTGATGGTCTCCTCCAAGGCTTGCGCCCGCTTCAGACCACGTATGGTCAGCACCGCCTGGATGTACTCGATCACGGTCAGCGCCTCCTTGATCTTACAGTCCTGGGCACAATAACCAATTAGCTTGTAGTTCTCGTGCTGCTTGGATTGATACGACTGTTTGCCAAAGCTGCTAATGCTGCCGCCGCTCTGATGGCTGGCCCCAAGTATCGTCTTGATCAGCACCGTCTTGCCCGACCCGTTCACACCGAGCACGGACATGACTTGGTAACTGTTATTAGATCAAATCAATCAAAACCGAATTACAAATCGAATCATGCACGCAGATATCTAGAATCACACGCACACGCACACGCACACACACGCATACATCAGTCACGTACCGTTCCACCAGCATATTGATATGCTTGAGCACTACGTGGGCGCGAAAGAATACGGCCAGATTCTCAATATACAGCGCCTTCGAGTGCACCAAGGGACATTCCATTGTACGCACACGTATCTTCTCACGTATCCACGAGTTATCCGATTCCGTTTTGTTGCTAAAGTGGATAATGCTTTGGTCATAGCAGCTGTCTGGGCTGTAATGATGATGATGATGATGATGATAATGATATGGTTATTATAATAATAAAAATAATGATAAAAATAATAATAACAACAGCTATAAAACTCTTCGACTCTATACTCACTCAATGTCCTTTTTTATATCATCACGACGTCTGGGTGGATTTCGCTTAGTTAACTTTAGGCCATAGCGTATATAGATAAATCCCCAAATTATGACAATCGATAGAAAAGTGAAAAGCGTTAAGTTCAGGTATGCCTTATTTATGTTAGCATCCACTAAAAAAAGAGAAGCGAACATTTTCTTTGATATTAGTGCTCTAGTTCACTTGAATACGCCTAAGTATGTAAGGATGTTTGAATTTAGTCTGAGCTCTGCTCTGTGGCGTTATTAAAATGGGAACTTAAAAATACAGAAGCAGAATATGTTGTTAGCTAGAACAGTTTTACGTTTCATTAGAGGAAAACAATAAAGCTTGTATACAATGTTTTTTTTTTTTTTTATAAATCCTAGATATTTTTATTCGAAGAAAAATGTTTGAATATTTATTATTTAAATTATTTAAATGTTTTAAAAAAAATATATTTAATGAATATTGAAAAAATATTAATAAATAAAACCTGTAAGTAAAAAAATTTTGTTTGAAAAATCAAAACTTGATAAACAATTAAAATGAAAATAAATAAAAATCTTAGACTTGGAGCTCTAAAATGGGAGATATAATTTTATAACTGAATTCAGAAACAATTTTGGATGGATAGCGTTAAGCACGGAATAGTTAACTTTTATAGATTCTGAGATCGACGTTTTTTTTTACATACGGATAAACGGGCAGAACTAAATGGACTCAGCAATATTACGTACTTTGTGGCGTCTGATATAATGGAACTCCCTATGACTCTTACATAACATTTACACATTTTTAGTCTGCCCTAAGCAAACTGACAGATGGACTAAGCTGGACTACTTACAACAGCAGTTGGGCAACGCATTGCAGTGCTCGACAAATACGCTGGTCTTGTATGTGACATCATCTTTGCACAGCTCGACTAATTCCATTAGGTGATTGAGATGCAATAGGTTTTTGAATAGCGCGTAGTTTGGAAGCATATTCAACTTGTGAGTATTCTCATTAATATCGAACCGATCGTATTCGCAGTGGGACAGATGGAGGACAATGCCCATTGAATAGAATGCAATGATCAGAATATAGCCAAGTCTCAGCTCTGTTAGCCAAAACGAGAACAGTATATTGATGGAGATGATGCAGGCGCCAGACACCAACATCGTATAGTTGAACATGACTGCATAGTGGAAAATGGAAAATGAAATGGATTGAGAATGGCAAAAGTAATCAAAGTAATCTCTCTCTCTCTCTCTATCTGTCTTTTGCTCACCATTGAAATACATATCCATTGGCAAAGAGCGATGAAATGTGAAGATGATGCCGTTCAGTGTCATAATCGAAATGAATACCATGAGCACGCCGTAAATGAAGTACGCAACGCATAGGGTGGTGAAGCGCATGCCGCTGATCAGCTCCAGGCGATTGTAGGCCGCATCGTTTGCCAGGCCAAAGTCAAGTAGCGGCAGGGCCCAAACATAACAGCAGCATAGGCTCATTGTCAACGGCATAACCCAGTCAACGTTGTTGAGATCATTCGAAAAAATTAACGTATGCAGAGTCGAATAACCCATGAGCTCCATTTTAACAATTATCTCGGAGCTTGGGTCCACAAAGCCACTAAAATAGAAAATAATAATAATACTATTACCATTAGTAATTGATCGTAATTATATATGGATATAGAATATGAATTATATATGGATATGAATAGGTAAATAGATATATATTCGAACTCACACGGCTAGTGCATTCATTACCAGATTCAGGCTAACTGGCGCCGAGTGCATTAGATTGTTGTTATATAGCGCCTCGACAGCCTGATCCTGGAATATTGCTGCCAATGCGAAATTGAGATCGGTTATGAACAGATGCTCGGGCGTATACTTGGCAATGTATTTCAGCGGATCTTCGTTCGAGCCCAAGTCGATAATCAGTTGATCCGCTGTCGCAAACTCCAGATAACGCTTGCCCGCCTCCTGCAACGGTTTGGTGATCGCCTGCTGGCTCAACAAGATCGTCGATCGCTTCAGCATGCCCAATGCAATTGTCGTTGTTGGCAACGGCTGGCGGTTGGTCGTCAAATGCGGCATGATGAAGCACCAGATGCAGAATATCGACGGCAGCATGATCTGCAGCAGCGGCACTGTGCAGCAGCGTGTGTCGATCAGGAAACGCCTGCTCAGCACCACCTGAATGTGGGCGAAACTCTTGCGTACATTGGCCAGGAAACGGCCCGTTCGGGTCCTCGGACTGGTCTCCTCGATGGCACGTATGCGATTGGCCAGCTTGGGCAGGGTGTTCCGCAGCATCCCGGTGCCCCTCATGTGCGTGTGCTTCATGGCCTTTAGCAGAATTTGGTCCAAGTCTGTCGTCATCAGCTCAAAGCTGTCCAAGTGCAGTGCGTTCATCTTGCTGTCGACCAAATTGATCAGCTTATACAATGCCTTCATATCGTCTCTCGTTCCCATTTGTATTGAGAAGACTGCCATATCGCCCATTTTCGATTCCACTTTCAGCTCGGGCAAGTGCCGGGCGAAGAAACTGATCAAGAGCCGAAAATTGCACTTGACGCCCAAATAGCAAACCTGAGCGATAATATACAAATATTCATCAATATGATAAACATGTATAGGCAATGGCTCTAAAAGTGTCACAAGTTAAGCTAAATTTGCTCATGAACATATATGCTCTAAATATTTCCTTTTAGTATTTCTTCAAAGTATTTTCACTAAGTATTTCTCCCCAGCATATCCTATACGTATTTGCTCAAAGAATACCTTCAAAGTATTTTCTCTAAGTTTTTCATCTAAGTATTTCTGCTAAGTATTTCCTTTAAATATTTCCTCTAAGTAACTCTGCTAAGTATTTCCCTCTGCCTGAAGGCCTTAGTCGCTCTGGCTTAAAACTTGTTATTTAGAATTAATTCTTTGTAACAATAAATAGAATAAATAAAATAAATAAAATAAACAAAATAAATAACATAAATAAAATAAATAAAATAAATAAAATA